ATTTTCCAATTTTACCGCAATCAATGTTCTCTCACCTTAATGATCCGGCCATGTCATGGATTTTGGGACAAATTTTTCTTCACCGTGGGCTTAATCCAAACTAATTAAGCTCAGAGCTATTCCATCTGCCGCCAATCCAACGTAAATGTAACTATATGGATATAATTAACTATTTATGTAAATGTTCTTAATATATATGCAATGCAATTTAATTTTAATATTTTTGTCAGGGACTAAAGTTCTTCTATGCAAATATTTTGCTAAATGAAGCGCCAAAATGTAGGTGTCAACATGTGCGAAATGCATCTTCTGCGGCGAGCGGTGACCCGATGCTTCTTCTGCTTCATTTCCTCTTTCCATGACCTCCCAATGTCACGTGCCACACTGATTGAATTCAGAGACGCACCGGAAAGGCCTCTCCTTGTGAACCCAACTGCGTAGAGCCCGGCCTGGTCTTTCCATCCGTTTGGGAACGGGTTCTTCGGGATCCTGTCCTCGGAAAAGAATTCATTCTCCCGGAGACATCACAATTACAGTAATGTTGCTTATTCTGCGGAAAGAAATTGGGGTCACAACCAGAGGCAGGATTGCTTGGAGAAAAAGGAGCATCTTTTTTGTTTTCTTGCTTTTAAATTCACTAACCATAAAAAATAGTATAAGTGACAGCTACTTGAGGAAAACAAGGATAAAACAGAAAAAGAACCTGACAAGAATGGTTGCTTTTAGAATAAAGAAGGTCCACATCAGTGTGCAGTGGAACATTTCATTCCTAAAGTAGACTAAAGTCAGAAGAAGCATTTCCAGGGTAGGTCTCATCTAATTAAAATATTTATTCTTCGATTTTGCGTTAACAACTCAAAAAATAATTTCTAGAGACTTTACAAAAAAGTAGGTTTCAGCGACAAATTTTGTAACAGTCTGAATTTTCGATCATTTTCCCGAGATTTAAAAAATGAATTTGACCAATGCACTATAGTGAGGTCTCACCCGGAAATGCGTATTCACGGGATGCTAACCTTAGGGGTAGGGCTATTACGGGATTGAGTTCGCACGACCAAAGAACTCGACCTGGGTTCGATCTTCGACCATATGAATTGACGAGGGAATGTTTTGAGCCAACCGAGACCGATCTATCTGATTGATCGTGTCCGAAGGGAACTAGTGACAGACCCTCGCAATTATATGACAACCGATGTCGTCCTGGGTAGAGTAAACTTAAACGTGATTTGACTTAGTGTCGGTCACGGGTCGAGAGCGCGTAATTCCAGAGAGCCACCCGTTAGCCAGAGATAAGCTAAAGTTGCGATTGTTCAATTTTAGTCATTTCTTGGAATTCGGGCCCGGGAATCGAGAATTTTGAAAGTGACAATATTGAGCGGCCGATGACGTTTTTGACTTGGCCAACTTTGGGGCCACCCATTTCTGCAAAAAAATGGATTTCGGTCCGGGACCCGGAAAATGACGATTTTGCCCCTCTGGTCACCGATGGCGATTCTGAAGTCGTTTGAGGTTATTTTTCGAGGGTAGTGTCATTTTGGGATGGCCACGCATACCAGGAGTCGTTTTGGCCAAAAATTGGAATTTCGACAAAAATTGGAAAAATAATATTATTTTATTCCCGAAACTTTGCAGTCAATTTCCGAGGGCTTAAAAAGTGAATTTCGCGGATCCGACGCTATATTATGTTGGCCACGCCCATATGGAACCCGTATGTGCGAAAATTGGAATTTCGCCCCGGGACCGGAAAATTACCATTTTGCCCCTGGACCCGGTATTGGGAATTCCGAATTTTGGACAATTTTGGGCAATAATTGAGGACTAAAATAAGTGAAAAAAGAAATTGAAATTATTGATTTATCACATTGCCCTTGAATTATTGGATAAGGATTAATGTGGGCCAAGTGTTCAAGGGCATTTTGGGCATTTTTGGAAATGTTGGTCCAACTAGTCAAACCTCTCTCTCTCCTCCCATTCTTGTTCCCCAAGCCGGTCACTCCCCCCCCCCTCACGATCAGTTTCTCTCTCTCTCTCACTCTCTTCATCTTCTTTTCCTTCCATCAGCGCTGCTGCTGCTGTTCCGCCGTTTCAGCCACCGTTCCAGCCCCGTTCTGTCTCGCTTTTTAGGTAAGTGACCTCCCCAAATGTCGCCTAGGACCTCGGGTATTGTTAGGCTTGTTTAGGGCTCGGTTTAGAATGAATTTAGTGGCTGGTTTGCTTGATGGTGTGTGTTAACTGATTTCCGGCTAGACTGCTGCTGCATCACCAGATTTTACTATTTTTACTGTGACTTGTGTGACCCGAATTTGAGGAAGTGTTCTTCATGAAAGTTGTTCATAGAATCTTGAAGTATAACATATTTTAATTTGGAAATTTTTGAAAATCATTTGATGCCATTCGGAAGTCCATCTTTGGACCGAAATAAAACTGCCCGATTTACTGTTCACCCGACCTTCGGGTCTGTTCGAATTTTTATAAATTTTTCCAGGACTATTTTCAAAATACTTCCTTAACAAAAATTGTTGGGGACATTTGTGGCTATAACATATAAAAATTTAAAAGTTTTCCAAAATGATTTGGGTACCGAATGAGTTATATTTTGATTGCCTGAGGGGCTGTCCGAGCGAATCGGATTTTGTCTGATTTTGAGTGTTAAAACGAGGTGTTTACGGTTAGAAATGGGTTTCGAGTTCTTCACAGAAAATGTTCATTGAGATGTTTTGTACAACATATTCAAATTTCATAATTTCTGGAGTTGGTTTACTATTTATTTCAAATGGATTTCTGTCACTGTGCAACTGCCCAGTTTGGACCCGATTTTGTATATTCCAGGTTTTTCTCTCTCTCGGACTGAGTTAGTGGCTGGTCGTTTGCGTGGTTGTGGACTGATTTGGGCGATGAATTTCGAGGTTTAGGAGGCTGAGTTAGGGCTATGATGTTGTGGATTAATCGGGGATTAATTGTGTGATTGATTGGAATTGTTACGGCATGATTGGGTTTATTCTGATAATTGCATTATTTGTGATCGTTGGCTGGTGCGGAAATGCATTTCGGGTTGATTGTGTGTTGTATGTGTGTGGCCGTGAGGCGTGGTGATGTGATTGTGCATTGAATTCGCGTGCCAAGAGCGTGTGGTTAAGTGGTGCGTGTTCGTGTGACGAGAATGCGAAATTATGGAATGTGTGTGAAGTGTGTATGTTTGGCAGTGTGTTTGTGTGGTGGCGTGGTACGTGTGGAGAGTGTGGAACGAAGGTTTGGAAATGTGGGATTGGTTGGAAAGGATCCCTCCTGAGGCGTGTTCGTTTACGCGGGATGATGCCGTCCCTGACGAGGTGACGATGCCCGGCCTGACGAGGTGTCGATGCCTGACGTGGTCAGAAGACCGTTGGCCTGATGCGTTTTACGCGGGCACGGTAGAAGGAAAGTGTGTGTAGGATTCCGTCCTGAGGCATGTTCGTTTACGCGGGACGATGCCGTCCCTGACGAGGTGACGATGCCCGGCCCGACGGGGTGATGATGCCTGACGAGGTCAGAAGACCGTTGGCCTGATGCGTTTTACGCGGGCGCAGTAGTGGTGGAAAGGTTGAGAATGAGCAAGAATTGGCGGGACGAGTGAAATTAAGAAAGTGACGTGTCGTGTGGTGTGAGTTGGGGTGCGAGTGTGTTTGTATCGCGTGGTGTGATGCTCGATTATGGGGTAAAAACTGCTAGGCATGGTATGGGACGTGACCAAGTGGGTTTTGCTCTATAATCGGGGCACGCGCACGGCTGTGATGTATTTCTGTGGCATACTGGCTGTGTGGTTGACTAACGTGCAGGGACGTGTATGATGGATTCCAGGTAAGGTCGTGTGTGGTTGTTAGTCTGTTTGATTGTCGTGTGTTATGCGTGTTTTCGTCTGGCGGTACGTGAGTGCCTACGTGGGGTTTGGGGTTGTACACTTATTGAGATTCGTCTCACGGTTGTACAACCGCCACTTTCAAACCCCCAGCCGTAGACCCAGGAGGCCCGCCTCCTCTTTTTGGTGTTTTGAGGAGTCGCCCAGGGAGCCCAGTGGAATTGCAGGCGATGCCTAAGAGGTCTTCCGGAGGATCGAACCAAGCGAAGTGGGAATATGAAGGAAGGAGGCGACCCTTAGGTTTTTCCCTAGGCCATTTTAGGGGTTGTTTGACTTGGGTTATCCGATAGTGAAGTTAAGATAACCAAACCCCTGAACTTTTGTTAAAACGGTGGTGGAGGATGTTCGTCTGTATTTATGTTTGTATATTCGGTGCTGTATGAATATGTTATTTGATTGTTATGGTGGTCTACCCCGTCGTCGTCATCTTTCTGTCCGGGGTTTTGTTATTCGCTTCCGCATGTGGCTCTGATGTTTGGGTTGGGTCGGCGACGTTCCTGGGACGTCGCATCATTTCAACCGCAGCAGGGGATGTCGCGAGCTCGTAGAGGTTCGGGGCGTGACAAATTTTGTCACAAAAAAATGGAAAAATTTGTCGCTAAAAGAATTTGCGACCAAAAAACTTTCGTCGCCAATTCAGCGTCGCAAATTTTAGTGACGAAAAATTTCAATTTTCATCGCTAAATTGCGACGAAATATATTCGTGGCAAAATTCGTCGCTAATTTTTCGTCGTTAATTTTTCATGGAAAAATTCGTCGCTAATTAGCCACAAACTATATTCGTGGCAAAATTCGTCGCTAATTTTTCATGGCAAAATTCGTCGTTAATTATTCGTGGCAAAATTCGTCGCTAATTATTCGTGGCAAAATACGTCGCTAATTTGCCACAAATTTTTTTTTGGGTCAGTAATTTGCGACGAACTTATTCGTGGCAAAATTCGTCGCTAATTACCACGAAAATTTTTTACTTTTGCCATGAACATTGTTCCGGAACGAATTTAGCAACAAATTTTTATTAATTCTTTAGCGACGAAGTCAATGACGAATGTTATTTAGGGACGATTTCAATTTTAAATATAATTAACAGCAAAATTATTTTCTAGAATTTATATTTAACATTGATTAAGCACCTAATAACATCAAAATTTAGTGCTTAAATACATAATGATATGATGATGAAATACATAGTGCTCAAAATTTAGTGCTTAAAAATATTATAATGATATGAAAATGGAAATTTTAACTAGCAAGGACTGACAAAATCATCATCATCAGCAATGTCATCATCATCATGTTGCTCATCATTGTGCCCATCACCTATTAGATTAATCGGAGGTACAGGAGGAACCTCATCGTGATCGAGATTGAGGTGTCGCAAGATCAATTGCATTTGTTGTTTGACCACTCTTATTTCTTCGTCATTCTCTATAAGTAAATGTTTCAGTTGGCTCAATTCTTGGGTCATTTGCTCCTCAAGTCGTGTTCTCTTTGAAACAGCCGTATTGGAGGATAAAGTTGCAGCAGCCTACATTGTGTATACCCTTGACAAAGATCCCATCCCAACAATTTTTCTTCTTTTCATTCCACCCGATGTCTCCACCCATAATGTCATACTGTCAACTGATGGCTCAAACGCAGCAACACCATCACCACCACTACCACTAGCAGTACTCATTCAAAGTTCATCATATTTTTCCTCCATTAATAATATAGATGAAAATAAAATAACTTCATATATATAACTACCATAAATATTAAAAACATTCATGATTTTCATTCTAGTTCTTACATACCTTAATAACTTTTACTCGATTGCCAGTCCATGTCTTATCTTTTTTTTGAAATGTGCGTTCAAATGTAGCTATATATGTCGGTTCTGTCCCCGATTCATCTACCTATAAAATATAAACATAAATGAGCAATTGAATTAAATTAACTTACAACATGTTTAACAGACTTATCATTCTTTTTCAATGCTCCCCGATGTTGATAGAGCTCCCAGCATATGTGGCAAACCCTTCACTAGAACTTGAAGCTCGATTCTTCTTATTTTATTCATTCATTTGCTTATTCTTTTCAGTTTCCCAAGTTCTCTTAATTTCCATCCAATTGTCACCCGTAATAAAATCTAGCTTTTACTTGACTTATCTTTGCTTTATTCATCACATTTCTTACGTGATCACCGGCTTTCTTCTTAAAAATTCTTTTAACTTCATCCTCTTCGGTTTCATCCCACCTAAACTTCCGCTGTGTTAATAGAAAAACAACTGAAAGTTATTATGAGGGTCACATATCCATTACCATGCACCAGACAATTCGGCAATGGATTTTCTAAAGTTCATATCCATTACTACTTGATGTGGGACTTCCCACTTCTGACAACTAAAGAGTTGTATAGGCGTTTGCATTCCCTCTCTTGGCAAGCCGACTTTTCGGAATGAGTTTTTCCACCCTTTATATATATATATATATATATATATATATATATCCATTGACATGATATTAGAGCAACTCTTCGGATGCACACACACCTTCTCAAACCGATGAAGTTGTAACCAGAGGCATATTTAAGAACTCTGGCAAAAACTGCAGGAACATATTTAGAAGAAACTTAAAAGTACCAATAATGGCGAGATCGAATCCAGAAAATGGATATCGGTGAGACACTGGACACAATTCCAAACTTAAAAGTACCAATAAGAGGGTATGATCCGATCCCTAACACGACCACTAGAAACACCTAGAAGAACAAAACTTACCTTGAACTCATTCCACCACAAATCATATACTTCTTTTGGGCCGCTACCGTAACTAATATACTACCCCCTCCAAGAGTCATTGACTATTTTATTAAGTTACCTCACAATATACGTAGTATCCGTGAATCTGCAAACAGGTTAGAAAGAACGATATGGACAATGAAACAATGAAGCATACGGATAATTTGCAACATGGACAATTCAGTTGACATCCATATCTAAAACCCTAAATATTATATATACTTAAAAAAATGAAGTACTTACGAATTTTTATATGGGCATATCATGAGTCGGCTATCTTCTTCACCTGTGTTTCCCTCATCATTCGAGTGTTGTACTAAAGAAGAAGGTGGAACCAAAGGAGATGGAACTGAAGGACATGAACCTGAAGTAGATTCAGTTCGTATGTGTCCAAGTTGTCCCGTAATATGTTCTTGAGGGTCGGAGGAAGGGCCAATGTGTCCATGTTGTCCATCAGCATGTAGTGGTCGAGGGAAACATGAAAGGGCAGGGGAAGAGGAAAAGGACGGGGACGAGGAAGGGGAAGGGGTTGCTCTTCTTTGTGAAACTGCACCATGCATGTGCCCTCCATGTTTATACTGATAAGTAGGAAGGTTAAATAAATATCTTAAAATACATGAACATATGTAGGGACACATAATGACGTACATCATGAAGCTTACCATTTTGTTTCAGAAAGCAAGAGATAAACTTGAGAAAATGAAACGAACTTGCTATCGCCTCTGATAAATAGCAAGTTGTCCGAAAATGTCTACGAGCTTCTTTAGCTCTTTTTTGCCACAAATAACGGTTGTTACCTCTGTCTACAAAAACATTCAAAAAGCTAGTGAAGTGAAGCACTTTCTGGTGATTATTATCTAAGAAGAAAAGAGGAGAATGAATGATAGGAAGCATATTACATGACATGATCAAACTAGGATATTTTCAAACCTAGATATAAATAAAAGGGGAGTATATTTGGCAATCAAGAACTAGAACCCTCTGTTCCAAAATTTGTTAATGAACATTAGAAAGCAGTTCCAAGTGAAACACAATGTGTATCATGTATCTTTCACACAATATTTAAACCGGACTAAAAATCTGTGAAACACAATGTGTTTCTGCTCAAAAACCTATCCAAACGACTTCAAAACGCAAAAAAACGACGTCCATCACGGCATAGCTTGAGTATTGATCAGCGGCCACTTTCCACACAGCCAACCAAATTTCAGCCCATTCCGAGTTCGCCAATCTAAGTGCATCAATTAGGTACTTGACTTAAAACAGACCCAATTCGAAACCGAACAATCTAATATAAAAATAGACTCAATCTAATATAAAATCCAATCAGACCCAATCCATTCAACCCGAGATAAGTCGAATCCAATATAAAAACAGAAAGAAGCAGTAAACCCAATCTAATATAAAAGAAGCAGCAGTAAACAAACATCCCACAGAATCCGAAACCGAACAATCTCCACCCTATAGAATTCGAAACCGAACAATCTCCGCCCTACAGAATCCGAAACCGAACAGCAGACCCAATCCGAACAAAAAGAAGCAGTAGAAATCAAATATAAAAGAAGTAGCAGCAAACGTCCCATAGAATCCGAAACCGAATAATCTCTGCTCTACAGAATTCGAAACCGAACAGTAGACCCAATCCGAATAAAAAGAAGCAGCAAAAATCTAATATAAAAGAAGCAGTATCAAATAAACATCCCACAGAATCCGAAACCGAACAATCTGAAACAGTGCTCGCCCGAGACAAAAAGTGCAAAAAATTCACGCGAACGTACCTCCTCTAAAACTCTCGGACGACGATCATCCTCAAATCCGAAACTCTCAGACAACGGTCCTCGTGCTTGAGGTTCCTCTCGGACGACAGTCCGAGCGCTTGAGGTTCCTCTCAAACGACGGTTAGCACGATCCTCCCAGCGTCTGCCGAAGGGGTTCCTCTCTCCAAGAAAAAATTGCGTAGAAGAACGCCAAATCCGAAGAAACACTCGTTGGAGGAAGCCGTCGAGAATAGAGAGAGAGAGAGAGAGAGAGAGAGAGAGAGAGAGAGAGAGAGAGAGAGAGAGAGAGAGAGAGAGAGAGAGAGAGAGAGCCGAATCCTAATTGTACCCCCAAATCAAGACGACGCCATTTTGCAAATTAGCGACGAAATCAGCGACGAACTATAAAAATAGTCGCGGCAAATTAGCGACGAATCATCTTTCGTCGCTAATTTTCGTCACAAATTAGCGACTGAGATGAATTCGTCACAAATTAGCGACGGATATGAATTCGTCGCTAATTAGCGACGAACTATAAAAACAGTTGCGAATGTGCCGCGAAAAGTTTATTTTCACCACAAATTAGTGACGGATTTGAATTCGTCGCTAATTTGCGACGAAATTAGCAACGAACTATAAAATAGTCGCAAAAGTTTATTTTCGTTGCTAATTCCGTCGCTAATTGGCGACGAATTCAAATCAGTCGCTAATTTGTGGCGAAATTAGCGAAGGACTATAAAAATAGTCACAAATGTGCCACGAAAGTTTATTTTCATCGCTAATTCCGTCGCTAATTAGCAACGGATTTGAATTTGTCGCTAATTACCGATGAAATTAGCAACGAAAATAAAATAGTCGGGAACGTGCCACAAAAGTTATTTTTGTCGCTAATTTGCGACGGATTAAATTCATCGCTAATTTTCGTGGCAAATTAGAAGCGGATTTTAATTCGTCACTAATTTGCAACAAAATTAGCAACGAACTATAAAAATAGTCGCAAAAGTGCCGCAAAAGTTAATTTTGTCGGTAATTTGTGACGAATTTTATTCCGTCACTAATTTGCCACGGAATTAGTGACGAAATTAACTTCCGTCGCAAATTAGCGACGAAATTAACTTTCGCGGTAAATTAGCGATGGATTTTAATTCGTCGCTAATTTCGTGGCAAATTAGTGACGGATTAATATTCGTCACAAATTAGCGACAGAATTAGCGACGAAATTAACTTTCGCGGTAAATTAGCGACGCATTTTGCAAATTAGCGATCGAATTAATGACGGAATTAGCGACAGAATTAACTTTTGCGGTAAATTAGGGATGGATTTTAATTCGTCGCTAATTTGCGACGAAATTAGCAATTAACTATAAAAATAGTCGCGAAAGTGCCGCAAAAGTTATTTTCGTCGTGAAATCCGTCCGTCGCTAATTTACGACAGAATTAGCGACGAATTGTAAAAATAGTCGGGCACGTGCCGCAAAAGTTGCTTTCGTCGCTATTTCCGTCGCAAATTAGCGTCGAAATTAGCAACGAACTATAAAAATAGTCGCGTTCGTGCCGCGAAAGTTATTTTCGTCGCTATTTGCATCGGAAATTAGCGATGGATTTGCATTCGTTGCTATTTATGTCGCAAATTAGTGACGAATTGACGTTCTTCGCTAATGTTCCGTGGCTAAATCTTTATTTTTTTGTAGTGTAATTTTTACGACGAAATTAGCGACGACGCAAATTAGCGACGAAATTAGCAACGACCTATTATATTAAAAATCAAGCAAATAAAAATTGTCGCTAATTTTGCGACGAAATTATGTTTGTCGCCAATTAGCGACGACCTTTCATATTAACAATTAATCAAATAAATAATAATAATAACAATAATAATAATAATAATAATAATAATAATAACAACAACAATAATTATGACAACAACAATAACACATGTCGCAATAATAATAATAATTACACATAATTAATAGGGTTAATACCACCAAAAACCTCAAACTGGTACGCGTGTGACAATTTTACCCCAAACTTTTTTTTTACCACAAAAAACCCCAAACTGGTACACCTGTGACAATTTTACCCCAAACATACCACAAAAAACTCCAAATTGATACACTTGTGACAATTTTACCCTGATCATACCACAAAAAATCCCAAACTGGTACACGTGTGACAATTTTACCATGAACTAAAATTTTAATATTATTTTTTATTTTTTCGAATTTTTATTAATTTTTTTCTTTTTTTCTTTTTCATTTTTATTCTTCATCTTCAACCTCTGGCCGGTCGCCGGACCGGCGACCGGCCAGAGGTGGAAGCCGGCAAGGTTGGCCCCGCCGGCTGCTGGGGAGGCTCGACCTCGCCGGCGTCGGCGTCGGGCGAGGGCCGCCCTCGCCGGATCTGGCGAGGGTGACCCTCGCCTGCGTCAGGCGAGGGCTGCCCTCGTCGGCGTCGGGTGAGGCCAGCCCTCGCCTGGGTGAGCGAGGGCCGCCTAAGTTGGGCGAGGGTCGCCCTCGCTTGGGTGGGCGAGGACAGCTCTCGCTCGACGCCGGCGCGCCCTCGCCTGGGTGGGCGAGGACAGCTCTCGCCCGATGCCGGCGAGGGTCGCCCTCACCAGATCCGGCGAGGGCAGCCCTCGCCTGAGTCGGGAAAGGGCGGCCCTCGCCCACGCCGGCGAGGTTGAGCCTCGCCAGCCGCCGGCGGGGCTGACCTCGCCGGCTTCCGCCTCTGGCCGGTCGCCGGTTCGGCGACCGGCCAGAGGTTGAAGACGAAAAAAAAAAAAAAAGACAAGAAAAGAAAAAATTAATAATAAATTCGAAAAAATAAAAAAATAAAATAAAAAAATTATTAGTTCAGGGTAAAATTGTCACAAGTATACCAGTTTGGGGTTTTTCGTGGTCAAAAAAATAGTTTAGGATAAATTTGTCACGGGTTTATCAATTTGGAGTAAAATTGTCATAGGTGTATTAGTTTGGGGTTTTTGGTGGTAAAAAAAAAGTTGGGGGTCAAATTATCACAAGGGTACCAGTTTGTGGTTTTTTGTGGTAAAAAAAAAAGTTCGGGTAAAATTGTCACATGCGTACCAGTTTGGGGTTTTTGGTGGTATTAACCTTAATTAATAAAAAGTCTCAAAAATAATAATCTTTATCTTCACCTTCGTCTTCGTCTTCATCTTCATCTTCATCTTTACCTTCGTTTTCGTCTTGATCTTCATCTTCACCTTCATCTTCGTCTTGATCTTGAACTTGATCTTTATCCTCTATCTCAAAATCAGATTCTACAACACTTTCTAGATTTGATTCGCGAATTTCAGTTGGATCAACATCTATCATTGCTCCACATGGGTCTCCTAAAGTGAGAATATTATATTCCTCAGTTTCAACCGCATTACAAACTTCCTCTTGTTGATATGCTATATCCTTCCAATATTCCTCGATTTTTCTTCGTGCTTTGGTTTTACATATAGCCCACCAATCAGTTTTGTCACGTTTCAAACTAGGATATGATGCATAATATACTTGAATTGCTTGTTGTGCCAAGACAAATGGTTCATATTTCATATACCTTTTTTTAAAAATTTATTTCAACCAAATTAAACTTTGTATGCACCTTCATTCCTTTAACGGGGTCGAACCATATGCACTTAAATAACACAACCCGCATTAATGGTCCATGGTACTCTATATCTATGATTTCATCCAACAAGCTATAAAAATCATCTTTTGAACTGCCACCATTGGATGACCGAACACACACACCACTATTCATTGTGGCTTTTCCCATTCCATATTCTTGAGTGTAAAAATTATACCCGTTTATGAAATATGCTGGCCA